CTGTAAGCCCGAAGTTTACAATCACTCTCCTTGTTGAAATTGATTCCCATTGTTGTAGTGCCTTTAATGTATCGGAGGATCCTCTTTAGAAGATGAAAATCAGATACAGTAGGTGCGTGCATCTTTTGACAGACGTAATTGACTGAGAATTGAAGGTCTGGCCTAGTAAGCGTAAGATACTGCAATTTTCCAGCCAAACTGCGAAAATATGTCGGATTATCGAAGAGCTCTGTTTGATGAGGAGCTCGTTCAGGTTGAAGAGGCAGTGGAGTGGCAACGGGAGAACAATGTGACATTGCAGCTGTAGCTAGAAGATCCTCTGCATATTTTTGTTGAGAGAGGAAGAGGCCTGTTGAATGAAATTGAGCTTGAATGCCGAGGAAGTAGCTTAATTGTCCTAAATCCTTCATCTTGAACTGCTTATTGAGTTGATTGAGCAGGTCAGAAAGAAGATTGGAGCTATTTCCTGTGATGACCATATCATCGACATAGAGAAGAAGCATGATCACATCTCTGTTCTTTACACAAACAAAAAGAGAAGGGTCAGATATACTGCAAGTGAAGCCAAAACTTAGCAAGAATTTGCTAAATTTATCAAACCAGGCCCTTGGAGATTGTTTGAGTCCATAAAGTGATTTGTGAAGCAGACACACATGATTGGGAAGATCTTTGTTGATGAAGCCTGCTGGTTGTTTCATGTAGACTGTTTCAGTCAAATCTCCATGGAGGAAAGCATTTTTGACATCCATCTGTTTTAACTCCCAATTCATGATTGTTGCTAGGTGAAGAACAGCCCTAACAGTTGCTGATCTTACAACAGGACTGTAGGTTTCAAGGTAGTCAATTCCCTCTTCCTGATTGAAACCCTGGGCAACAAGTCTTGCTTTATACTTGTCCAAAGATCCATCAGCATTTAGCTTTACTCTAAACACCCATTTTGAACCCAATACATGCATCTTTGGAGTAAGTGGAACAAGAGACCAAGTTTGTGTCTCAGAACAGTTTCCCATTTCCTCTACCATAGCAGCAGTCCATTTAGGATCTTTTAAAGCTTCAGTTACTGTAGTAGGCATGGGATAAGAAACTTTATGTGTAAGAAGGGCATACCTTGGATTTGGTTTAACAATTCCTTTCTTTAGTCTTGTTGTCATAGGATGAATAGATATTGTTGTTGCAGGAGGAATACTTGAGGTTGTTGAATTCTTAGGACTAGGAGAAGATGATGGAGTGCTGTTGCCAATAGGAACAAGATCAAAGCTTGCCGTACACTCAGTACACTCCTCACTTCCCAAAGCCAAAGATTCTGAGCCTGCATTTCCTGATCCTGCAGTATTTTCTTGAGACATAATACTTTGCAAAGGTGTGACACATATTAGCTCGTTTGATGTGGTGTTTGTCTCCCCCTCTATATTTTGAAGCTGATTCTGGTCTTGTTCTGTTTGCAGTTGACCAAGATGTAATACAGGAGCGCATGAACTGGTGGTTGATGAAGCATTCTGGTCCTTTTCTGCAGAACTGTTCTGAAAACCTTTTAGCCAGGCATCAAGCAGAGGAGTCAATGAAGACTGTTGCATACCATTGTAGGTGTCAATAAAAGGGAAAGAGCTCTCATCAAACAACACATGACGGCTTAAATACACACGACCAGTTGGAGGATAGTAGCAGCGGTATCCTTTGTATTTTTCCGTATATCCAAGGAAAATACACTTGAGAGATCGCGGATCGAACTTGTTTTGAGCATAAGGACGGAGAGTGGGAAAGCATGCACATCCAAAAGTCCTCAAAGCAGAATAGTCTGGAGGTTTTGAAAACAGAGCTTCATATGGTGTTGTAGAGCTATCAAGAACTGTTGTTGGTAGCAGATTACTTAGAAAATTAGCAGTAAAGAAGGCTTCAACCCAAAACCTTTGTGGTGCTTTACTTTGGAACATTAGAGTGAGTCCTTTTTCAGTGAGTTGTCTATGTTTCCTTTCTGCCAAACCATTTTGTTGTGGAGTGTGAGGGCAAGAGATATAATGTTGTATACCAGATTCTTGAAGATGCTTTAAGAACCTGTTGCTTGTAAATTCTCCTCCTCCATCACTCTGAAAAGTTCCTATCTTTGTTTGCAAAAGATTTTCAACAAAACTCTGAAACTTGATGAATATTGAACAAAAATCTGACTTGTGCTTTAGAGGATAGAACCAACAGAATCTTGATAGATTATCAATGAAGATTACATAGTACTGAAATCCTTGAATAGAAGAAACAGGTGCTGGACCCCAGAGATCACAATGAACTCTCTCTAGAGGTCTTGAAGCAACAAAATCTGAAGAAGTAAATGGCAATCTCGAACTCTTCCCAAGCCGGCATGATTCACACATCTTGCTGGTACTTTTATTAACTTGGATCGCCTTATTCTTGACTAAGAACTGAAGAACTTGTGGATTCGGATGTCCCAATCTCATATGCCAGACTTCATCAGTTGCTTTGACTTGCCTAGTAGAGTAAAACATCTGAAACTTTGGGTTCTCCAGCCTGTAGAGACCATCACTTGTGCTGCTTCCCTTTGTCAAGACCTTGAGAGTGACTTTGTCCTTTACAAGAACACCATCAGCATCAAAGGTAAAGGAACAAGGGTAATCTTTTGTCAACTTTGACACTGACAGTAGTGATTTAGCAATGTCAGGACAGACCAAAATATCGTTTAAAGGAAGGTTACCTGACGTAGAAGGAAGACTAGCTGACCCAATGTGAGTGATAGGCAAGAAGTTTCCATCACTAGCCATCACAGTGTCATTACCAAGGTAGGGTTGCATTTGTTGCAGGCGTGAGCTGTTGTTGGTGATGTGAGCCGTAGCAGCGGAGTCTGGAACCCAACCATTATCATCAGTGACATCAGTAATATGCAGAGCTGAGAAAGCGGCTGCGGCAGTCTCAGAGTGTTGGTAAGAGTCGTCAAAGCGGTGCCAACACTGGAGAGCAAAGTGGCCTCTTTTACCACAAATTTGACACATTGGCTTCTCTCCTGATGAGTCATCTTCCTTGGTTTCTATTCCTTCTGAATCTAAACCACACAGGCAGAGAAAACTGCCTTCCCACTTGCAGGACTTTCATTGTTATAATAATAATACTCTTACTAATCCTATAAAAACTTCCCCTTATCCACTAGCAAACTATATTTCTTATTCTTATCTATCTGAGCCTTTTGGTGCTTTCATTAATATCATCACAAAAACAAAGCTACCTACAAAGTTTTCAGAAGCTAAGCATGACAAGGAATGGACAGATGCTATGGGTAAGGAGATTGGAGCTTTTATAAGAACTGAAACTTGGAGTGTCTGTGACTTGCCTCCAGGAAAAGTTGCAGTAGGATGCAAATGGGTTTTCACCATCAAATTTCATGCTGATGGCAGTATTGAAAGGTATAAAGCTCGCTTAGTAGCCAAAGGGTATACTCAACAAGAGGGTATAGATTTCACTGATACTTTCTCTCCTGTTGCAAAAATGGTAACAGTGAAACTTCTTTTATCCCTCGCACCGAAAATGCAGTGGTCTTTGCACCAATTGGACATCTCCAATGCTTTTCTTAATGGTGACCTTGTTGAGGAAATATATATGAAATTACCCCCAGGTTATGCAGAGTTAATGGGAATTGAGGTCTCTCCTAATGCAGTTTGTCGTCTTCATAAATCCATTTATGGTCTTAAACAGGCTTCTCGCCAGTGGTTTTTAAAGTTTTCAAGCACTCTGGTTGGTTTTGGATTTGACAAATGCCATAGAGACCATACTCTTTTTGTTAAAGAAGTTAATGGTAATTTTCTGGTGGTTCTGGTCTATGTGGATGATATACTCATTGCTAGTACCAGTGATTCTCTTGTAGCTGAGTTGAAGACACAATTGAGCTCTGCTTTCCAGCTTCGAGATCTTGGTCCACCTAAATTTTTTCTGGGAATTGAAATTGCTAGAACTGATGAGGGCATTTCTTTGAATCAGAGGAAGTATATTTTGGACTTACTGGAGTCAACTGGTTTTTCTGATTGTAAGCCGTCTTCTATTCCCATGGAGCCTAATCAGAAGCTTGCTCAGGATACTGGTACAGTTCTTGCTGATCCTAAACAGTATAGACGTCTGATTGGTAAACTGCAGTACTTATGTATTACCAGGCCAGATATCACCTTTGCAGTCTCTAAATTGGCTCAGTACTCCTCTGCTCCAACTAATATTCATCTTCAGGCTATTCATAAAATCTTGAGATACTTGAAGGGAACTATTGGACAGGGTTTATTCTATGGTGCTGATCCTACTTTTGATTTGCGAGGCTTTTCTGACTCTGACTGGGGTACTTGTCCTGACAGTAGGCGTTGTGTGACTGGTTTTGCCATCTTTGTTGGTAATTCATTGGTTTCTTGGCGTTCAAAGAAACAGGATGTTGTTTCCATGAGTTCAGCAGAGGCTGAGTATAGAGCTATGAGTGTGGCTACCAAGGAGTTGATTTGGCTAGGTTATCTTCTCACTGCTCTCAGGGTTCCTTTTCGTTCTCCTGCATACCTCTATTGTGATAATGTTGCTGCATTACACATTGCCAGTAATTCTGTCTTCCATGAGAGGACAAAGCATATAGAGTTTGATTGTCATAAAGTTCGTGAATGCATTGAAGCTGGGATTCTTAAGACGATGTTTGTGCGGACTGATAATCAACTTGCAGATATATTGACTAAACCTCTATATCCATCTCTTTTTCGAGAAAACAACAGCAAGCTTGGAGTTCTTAACATATATGAAGCTCAAGCTTGAGGGGGGCTATTAGATGTATATATGATTCCGGTTTAATGTACTGGTTAAGTTAATATACATGTATACGGTTTAGTCTTTGGTTTAGTGTAGATTGTATATATACACTGTTGTAACAACCTTTTCTGATTTGGGAAATATAGAAAATCATTTCACAATCTCTTCGTTCTCGTTCTCTATCATCTTCTCAAATTCTCGTTTTTTCTTTTATCTTTGGTAGTATTCTTGTTTGTTCAATCGAAATCGAAAAAAGCTAAGATCTTCCTATGAATTTGTGATCTCTCATAAGACAGCTGTTGAGGTTGTGAAATTGAGAAGGAATAAGCAGAGAGAATTTTGGGTTTGTTATAGTTAACCCCACAGCTTCTTCCTTCTCAATTTCGTACCCTGAGCCAGCTTTGTCTTTGCCAGAATTGAAATAGATCGTTTGATTTTGGTTGTTGTTGTCTCACTCTTTGGCCTTAGGGTTTTCGTGGAATGTGTAACACTCTCTTGTCTTTGAAATTATCATGTTATTGTACCTTGATCGTGATTTGTATCTATGCCTCAAGTTTCAAATCGATTCTCTCTTTGTTATGATTTTTTGATTCAGTGAGTTCCTGTTTATGTTTTGAATGATTTTGTTGTTCAGCTTTGTATAGAATTTGATCTATGTGCTTAACTTTGATTGATTCAACAAGTGATTGATGTTCAAAAAGTAGAAGCTGTGTAGAGGGTTTCTAAAGGATGATTTAATCTCTCTGTGACGGTTCTCTTCTACCAAGCTGAAACTGCTGCTGCAACGAGTTAGATCAGTAAGGTAACGTTTCCAGAACAAGAACGACCTTCCCTGATTCTCATTTCATTTCACTGGTTTTGGATGTGAGATTGATTTATTGAAATGAAGAAAGAGAGAGATGCAGGATAGTAGATTTGATTGGTTGTGGATCCTACTCTATCATCTTTATCTGCCTATCATTATTTGTTTACACGTGTGGCAAAGTGAAGTGATACACAAAGTTAATAGGAGGAACGTTACTAACTCTGTTCTTTGGTATGTAGATTGATGTTTCTTGAATTTGCTAGGCGTCTCATTGAGCAGGATGATAGAATCCGTATCACCATCCTCAAGCTCAAGCAACAAGGTCAGGCTCATCTAGATTCCTATGTGAAGACTATTGCCTGGTCCGCGGGCCGGTCCGTCTAACCGTTGGGCTTCGCGGGGCGGGTTAGGACTGCATTTTGTCACCCGCGGTCGTCGGCGGGCCGGTCCGTCGCGGATCAGAAGAAAAGCGGGCACATCGCGGACGGTCCGTTTGGTCGCGGGCAGGCCCGTCTGTCATCTCTACAAATTATGCTTTGTTATTTTTCAATTATATTAAATTAGACTGTCGCTTCCGTAAATATCTAACATTACCTTGCCAAATTAAATAAGTTAACTTATCTACAATTTCAAAAAAAAAATTCTTCCATTAATCAGAATTTATTAGTATATTTTCTTAAAGAAATAAATTAAAATCTAAAATATATGATGATATTAAATTGATTTTTTTTTGTTTCCGAAAATATCTAAAAATATAGTACGAAATTGAATAAGTTTACATATATACAATTTTGAAATTAATAGTTAGATTTTTTATGGAAACTACTTTAAAAGATTTCTATAAATATTGGGTAGTTATTAATTTGTTTATTTTATGGGAACTACTTCAAATAATTTCCATAAATATTGGGTAGTTATTAATTTGTTGATTTAATTTTGGATTTTGTTTTATATAAAAAAAAAATATATCAAATGGACACAATACAATTTTCCGATTATTTTTTTTCTTTTTAAAATTCAAAAATACCAATGGCATTCTTTGTAATTAATCTACCAAAATAAGGTTACTTATGTTTGAGTGATTCCCAATTAATAGTATAGATGCAAGATCAACCTCGAAGTAAAATAAACTCTAAAACAAACCTTGAATAATGAATATTAAAACCAGCTTTTGACAAACAAAAAATTTTTTATTAAAACCAGCAACATAAACCTTGACGTAAAAAAAAAAAAAAAAAAAAAACCTTGACGTAAAGAATATTATTTGTTTGGAACAAATTAATTTGAAAACGTATTGCTTTGGTTTCAAGAAACGACATATCACAACCAAACATGGAACCAAACAAACCAAGAAAACAACAATGAAACCAAACAAAATCCATAACAAATCGAGCTTACTTGCAAACACAAAAGCAAAATATTGTACCGAAAATTGATCTTACATGATAAGCAAAAACCTAAAGCCTAACTCCTTCAAAATTTTCTGAATCGCAAACCCTAACAAATTAGAGAAATTTTTTGTAATATGTTTCTTAAACTTAAAATCAAGTGAATACATGATCGTTTTAAGAGCTAAACGACATCAAGTTTGATTGAGTCTATTGTTTTTTCTTAAACCAAAATGAGTAGGTTTTGTAATCCTTTCAAAACACTTTACGTCGAGGTTTATGTTGCCAATTTTAAAATGTTCGAGATTTGTTTTGTAGTTTTTTTTTTAACTTTTAATTTCGAGTTTAATCTTGCATTTTCTTTTCTTTTTTTGTAATTTGAAAGGTATTTTTTTTCTTGCATTTTTCCTTTATTTATTTCCTATTTTTCTGTTTGACATGCAGTTAATATTTTCCAATTTGATTTAGGAAGCTTTGCATAAGAAAATACATCAAAAATAAAATTACAGAGAGCAAATTGACACCCTTAACAAAGATTTAAGGCTTTGAAAGAGACGGTCTTAAATGTGAAGGTGAATGCTTTAAAGATTTAAACTTTGTTAGAGTCTTTTGAAACAATCATTATCTCAATTTGTTTTATTTGTTAATTTTTTGCAGAGAGAATCGGATGGTTCTTGACGTTTGTGATTCTAGCTGCAGTTGCATACTTGCAGCTGCTTACGTACTCTACAAGTATCGTTTTAGGGAATGTTTTCGCTCTTTTCTTTCTCTTTATGAATCTTCAAATTCATAATCATCATGAATATATGTAGTGATAATTTCCTTTTGTGTGTCAAAATCAAAACTCAGTCTTATATGGATTCAGAAATTATGGCGATAATGTCTTTGTACATGCCATGGCTGATTATTTCTTGGAATATCTTTCATGAAAGAGATAAATATATAAGAAACATTTCTTTCTTTCTTATCTTTTTTGTTCATTTGACTTTTTTTTTTAATTCTTTCTACTCTTTTCATTGTTGCGGATAAAGATTTTAAAGGTTAGATTTTTAAAGAAATAATTATTTTTATTGAAAGTGCGAACAAAAGAGCTCTGTCATCAGTTAATTACAGACTGAATTGAATTGGGATTTTGGTTACAAATGCTAACAATTTTTGTCATAATATAGTTTGTGGCTTTAATAGAATAAACTCAAAACTTTTGTGTTACATCAAAAGTTTGCAAAGTATCTCAGTATTTTACAAAATTTGTGGGAAGCCTTATCGACTTGAAAGTGTGAACAACAAGAGCTCCTATAACATTGAATTGGGTTATAAATGTAACAGACTATGGGTTCATTTTTGCATAAAACAAAGTTTGGGGCTTTAATCGAATAACCTGCAAACTTTAGAGACCGTATATGAAATTCTTTGTTTCAACCTTCAAGCAGCTCTCAATTTTTCCCCGTTTATGGATTTGAACCATCATTATTAGCTTGGACTTAAAAAATTAAAATTATTTCTCTAAATAATCATAAATATAAAAGTTGCTTAACTCTCCCCATATGAGTGTCACATCATCACATAAGAAAATAACATGTGTCATTCTAAATTATTTAAATAAAAAGATTAGCAAAATTAATTGAGAGAAAATCAAAAGTCTTTTGTTGTGTTAAATTCTCCATAAATCTCACTCTTAATTGATCTTTTAAAAAACTAAAAAATAAAGTAAAGGATCATACTAATGTATCAAGCACTACTTTCATTCTACTCTTCTTATATTATTAAATTTTTTTATCGATGGTCATTACACGATAATGGCTAAAACATTACTTGTGTTGTAGTTTATATATTTGCTACCTAACTTCATGTTACGTTTTGTGAATATGACATTCTCTCTTTTTATTTTTGTGCGTTATGATAAGTTGGTAACATTGACACACAATTTTTTATATTATTAAATTCTCTCTTCTTATATTATTAAATTTTTTTATCGATGGTCATTACACGATAATGACTAAAAAATTACTTGTGTTGTAGTTTATATATTTGCTACCTAACTTCATGTTACGTTTTGTGAATATGACATTCTTTCTTTTTATTTTGTGCGTTATGATAAGTTGGTAACATTGACACACAATGTTTTCCACTTAATGGTCCTTTGAGACGTTAGACATACCAAGAAATTAAAAACACGAAACTCTCTCCTATATGGTTGTATGCAAGGAGAGAGATCTAAAGTGTTGACTTAAAGTACTAGCATATCATGATGTGGTTGGCTTACTAGATGACGAGAAAGTAAATGGAACAAAGATTTCTTTCTTTAGAATTTAGTTAGGCAAGTTTCAAACCATATAAGTAACATAATTGCATACCATTGTATCAATATATCATATATTATTATTGTATGTATTCATGATAATGAAAGATTAGGATCGTAGGTATATTAATAATTAGATTTATACATAAAAAACGTGGAACTAATATTTCGAGTCAAAGATGAATCTAATCATAAAAATTATAACTATAGAAAATAGATATCACTTTATTAATTACATAATAACATACACACAAATTAACATAAAACGCAACAAAAACCATAATCATATTTTTCTGCAATTTTTAAAACAAAAACCCACACGTAGCGTGGGTATTCATCTAGTGTCTTATAAAATGGGAAAAATGTCATTTAATAGCCCAACTTTCAAATTGTGGCCATTTGCCACACCAACTTCATAAATGGCCAATTTAAACATGACAAATACGTTGACTTCCATTTAGCACATTACAAAATCGTTGACCCCGCCAAAACACCAAGCCGTTAACAGATCCGCTAACACCCGTTACCACCCGTTACTGTGCAAAAAACGACATCGTTTAGGTTTAATCGACTTTCCCCCCAAATCGAAATCCCCAAATCACAAAAATCAAAACCCTAATTTTCTCGAAATCGAGATTCTCTGATGAACTAGCAAATCGTGAATTCGTTATCGAGGATTGGGTCTGTAGTTGAAGCTGCAATGCAAGGCGAATTAGATAGAGAAGAAGAGGTTGTCATCGGAGATGGAGTTCCATGTCTTCCGGCGGAAAAAGCTTCAGAGTTAGCTGTCGGAGCACAGTCTTCTCCTAGAGCTAAAGGTCGAGCTTCAGGACGGCGTCGGAAACGAAGAAGAGTCAGACATGAAGAAGAGGAGGATGAAGAGACTGAAATGGTGCATGAGCCTGACATCGAAGATGACTGCGCCGTGTATGGTGATGAAGACTGTGATGCTGTTGATGATGTAGTTGGTGGTAGAGATAACAATGTTGTTGATGATGCAGTTAATGGTGGAGATAACGATGATAATGGTGGTTTAGCTGTGGAAGACAATGTTAACATGGAAGCAGATTTTCCCGAAGCTTTAAGAGGAGACGAAGGTGGTACTGATTCTGACAGTGGAGATGATATCTGGGAGGATGACAAGATTCCAGATCTTTTGTCATCAGACGATGAAGATGAAGACAGAGCCGAAGAAGAGGGAAATTATAGTGATGAAGAGGATCCAGAGGTGTTGCTAGCTCTGGAGAAAACTTTCAACACTCCTGATGACTTCAAGCTAGCTCTTTTGAGATACTCTTTAAAGACAAGGTATGACATTAGACTCTATAGGTCTGAAGCTTTGATAGTTGCTGCAAAGTGTTGTTATGTTGGTGATGATGGTGTTCCTTGTGGCTGGAGAGTCTATTGTTCATATGAGAAAACAAAACATAAGATGCAAATAAGAGCTTATGACAATGAGCATATCTGTGTTAGATCAGGCTATTCAAAGATGTTGAAGCGGTCTTCAATTGCATTGTTGTTTGAGGAAAGGCTGAGAGTGAATCCAAAACTTACAAAAAACGAGATGGTTGCTGAAATTAAGAGGGAATACAACTTGGAAGTAACTCCGGATCAGTGTGCTAAGGCGAAGACCAAAGTACTGAGAGCAAGACATGCTAGTCATGATGATCACTTTTCAAGAATATGGGATTATCAAGCTGAGGTTTTAAAGCAGAATCCAGGGACAGAGTTTGAGATAGAGACAGTTCCAGGGCCTGTTATTGGAAGCAAGCAGAGGTTTTATAGGTTATATATATGTTTTAAAGCTCAAAAGGATTCTTGGAAGCAAACATGTAGACCTGTGATAGGAATTGATGGAGCCTTTCTCAAATGGGATATAAAGGGTCATCTTCTAGCTGCTGTTGGAAGGGATGGCGATAATAGGATTGTTCCTATAGCTTGGGCAGTTGTAGAGATAGAAAACGATGATAATTGGGATTGGTTTATGAGACACCTCTGTGCTAGCTTGGGACTCTGTGAAATGCAACATCTAGCAATCATTTCAGATAAACAGTCGGTTAGTTTTATTAGAGTTTGCTTATGGTTTTAAGTCTTTTATGAATGCTAGCTTATGGCTTATGGTCTTTTTATGAATGGTTTTAAGCTTATTTTCTTCTGTTTTCTTATGTTTTTCTGTAGGGCCTAGTCAAAGCTATCCATACTATACTCCCAGAAGCTGAGCATCGACAATGTTCAAAACATATAATGGACAATTGGAAGAGGGACAGCCATGATATAGAACTCCAACGTCTCTTTTGGAAAATTGCCCGCAGTTACACCATAGAAGAGTTCAACAATCATATGGAAGAGTTGAGGAAGTACAATCCTCAAGCTCATACAACTCTGCAGCTTACTAGTCCAATGACATGGTCAAGAGCCTACTTTAGAATAGGGACATGCTGCAATGACAACCTCAATAATCTGAGTGAGTCTTATAATAGGACTATCAGACAGGCTAGGAGAAAACCTTTGTTGGATTTGCTAGAAGACATCAGGAGGCAATGCATGGTCAGAACTGCAAAGAGGTATATCATTGCTGACAGATTGAAGACAAGATTCACAAAGAGAGCCCATCTTGAGATTGAGAAAATGATAGCTGGGGTTAGAAATTGTGAGAGATATATGGCCAGAAACAATTTGCATCAAATAGAAGTGAATGGTGTTAGCTACTTTGTAGATATGGAGAAGAAAACTTGTGGTTGCAGGAAGTGGCAGATGGTTGGGATCCCTTGTATTCATGCGGCATATGTGATTATAGGAAGAAGAGAGAAGGTTGAAGACTATGTCAGCGAGTATTATACAAAGGTCATGTGGCGAGAAACATATGAGGATGGTATTAGGCCTGTCCAAGGGATGCCATTGTGGCCTAGAACCAATAGGTTGCCTGTCTTACCACCACCATGGAGAAGAGGCAACAGAGGAAGGCCTAATAACCATGCTAGAAGAAAGGGAAGAAATGAGACTGCTTCTTCTTCAAATAAGAACAAGATGTCACGGGGAAAAAGAATCATGACATGCTCTAACTGTCTGCAAGAAGGGCACAACAAGCAAAGCTGCAAAAATGCAACAGTTCTGAATCCACCACCTAGACTAAGAGGAAGACCAAGAAAAATGCCGGTATGTTTTGCTAGCTTTTACTGTTTTACATCACTGAATTCATGTAGTTGCTTATTCTAATAGACATACAATTCAATTAGGCGCCACAAGTACTTGCAACATTTCCTAGTCAAGCTTATCCTGGATCACAAGAGCAAGTGCAAGGCTCACAAGGATCTCATCTTGGCTCACAAGGACAAGGCCAAGGATCACAAGCCCATCTTGGCTCACAAGGACAAGGGCAAGGATCACAAGCCCATCTTGGCTCACAAGGACAAGGGCAAGGATCACAAGAACATTTTGCATCACAAGGATCACAAGCTACATCAGGTCGTCGATCACACCGTGCACAAGCTCATCAAACGCATGGAGCAGAATCACAAGCTCATCCAGAAGCACAACCAGACGCACAACCAGAAGGACAAGGACTTGGTAGATTTGCATCATGGTTTCAGTGTTCCACTTGAGGAAGATTTTCTGAAGTTTTTTTGTTATGTCTGAACAAAACCTTTTAATCGGAGTATTTTGGTATGTTTGAACTTAACTTGTTGTTGTTTGGTTCTTCTATGACTTGTCTTGTTCTTTTTGTTTAGTTGTATGAATGATTGTTAGTCTTTCTGACATAACTCTTAGACAAATTTGTATTTTCATTACCACAAGGGGCAGAACACACAAACAAGACAAAGCCAAACTAGCATTTCATTACAGCAAGACACAACATGAACAAAAGATAAACACAAAGACCAAACAACTAAAACACATACCAAATAACAAAGAAACTAGTAACCTAGCATAAGTTTCTGGTTTTTGGAAGTATACAACATTAGGAGAACAATTGCAGTGACAGTTAAACAAATGCAGACCAACCACAATTTGATTCTCTTAATTTCTCTTTTGCTCCACGTTCCATCTTCCTTCAATTCATTGATCATACACTTTAACTCTGCAATCTCGACTGAAACCTCACATTTGGCTGCGTTTATTTCATTGTCAATGCTGGAGATTTTCGGCTTAGCGTCTACAACCTCTTCGTAGACACAATCTTCAACCCATTTAAACAAATGGCCCTGCGATCACGTTGAAAATGACTTACCGACCAAACCAAAAAAACACTAAATCAAATCTACTTACATCATTCAAGGTTGGACAACGGAAGAACGGTCTCCCTGGGTTCTGCTTCGTCTTCGATGTGAGAATGACAACGTCTAAGCCGCAGTGACACTTCGAAGGAAAGCCACGGAACTCGCAACCTCCATCTTGAACACACGAATTACAACTCATATCTCTGGTAGAATTGGAGAATTCGATGAAAGAAACAAGATTTCGAGCTCAAAAGAAAGATAATGCTGCGAATTGCTGAGAATTGAAAATTTTAGGGTTTGAAATCGATTTGGGGATTTCTCAGAATTGGGGATTCTTCAGCTTTTAGAAGTTTCGATTAAGCTCTAAACGACGCCGTTTTGGGCATTAACGGAGGTGTTAACGGGTGGTAACGGGTGTTAGCGGATCTGTTAACGGCTTGGTGTTTTGGCGGGGTCAACGATTTTGTAATGTGCTAAATGGAAGTCAACGTATTTGTCAAGTTTAAATTGGCCATTTATGAAGTTGGTGTGGCAAATGGCCACAATTTGAAAGTTGGGCTATTAAATGACATTTTTCCCCTTATAAAATGGTTTAAACTTTAAAATAGTTTATCTTTGGGATTGAAATGTTTTTCTAACATATATTTGAAGGAATTCTCCAAAATTCATTAATCCTCTTTTCAGTAATATCTCCGGTTTGGTCCGGTTATTCCGGTTCGGTTCCGCTGACCATTTGACTGATCATAAAAACCCCGCCTTTGCTTGTATCTACCCGAATCCCACACACAAAGATGCGTAGCTTTGATTACTCAAGAAAACGAGACTCATCTTCAATGTTCTTCTGCAAACGACGATAATGGAATGGCAAGACAATCATTTCTCAAACTCGCTGGTGATCTCTCTTCTCTCACGGATTCTTCACCATTTGCGAAGCTTCTTGATTCATGCATCAAATCCAAGTTATCAGCAATTGATGTCCGTTGTGTCCATGCTTCTGTCATCAAATACGGTTTCTCCAATGAGGTCTTTATACAGAATCGGCTTATCGATGCCTATGCGAAATGTGGGTCACTCGAGGATGGTCGCCAAGTGTTCGACAAAATGCCTCAACGAAATGTTTACACTTGGAACTCTGTTGTGACGGGTTTGACCAAGTTAGGATTTTTAAATGAAGCTGATTCTTTGTTCCGGTCAATGCCTGAACGCGATCAGTGTACGTGGAATTCCATGGTTTCGGGCTTTGCACAGCATGATAGGTGTGAAGAGGCTTTGTATTATTTTGCTATGATGCATAAGGAAGGGTTTGTGCTTAATGAATATACATTTGCTAGTGGTCTTAGCGCTTGTTCTGGTTTGAATGATATGAATAGGGGTGTACAAATACATTCTTTGATTGCGAAATCGCCTTGTTTGTCGGATGTGTATATAGGTTCTGCTCTTGTTGACATGTATTCCAAATGTGGTAATGTAAATGATGCTCGGCAGGTTTTTGATGAGATGGGTGATAGAAATGTTGTCTCTTGGAATAGTTTGATTACATGCTACGAACAAAATGGTCCTGCGGTGGAAGCTCTCAAGGTTTTTCAAGTGATGTTAGAATCTAGTGTTGAGCCAGATGAGGTTACTTTAGCAAGTGTGGTTAGTGCCTGTGCAAGCTTATCGGCAATTAAGGTTGGTCAGGAAGTTCACGCCCGTGTTGTTAAAATGGATAAGTTAAGGAATGACATAATTCTAAGCAATGCGTTTGTGGATATGTATGCAAAGTGCAGCAGAATAAAAGAAGCTAGGTTTATATTTGATAGCATGCCTATCAGAAATGTTATCGCAGAAACCTCCATGATCAGTGGGTACGCAATGGCTGCAAGCACTAAGGCGGCTAGACTCATGTTCACCAAAATGGCGGAGAGGAATGTTGTTTCATGGAATGCGCTTATTGCTGGCTATACGCAGAACAGGGAAAACGAAGAAGCACTTAGTCTCTTTTGTCTCTTGAAGAGGGAATCAGTATGCCCAACCCACTATACCTTTGCAAATATTCTCAAAGCATGTGCAGATCTTGCAGACTTACATCTCGGTATGCAGGCTCACGTGCATGTCTTGAAGCATGGGTTTAAGTTTCAATCCGGTGAAGAAGATGATATATTTGTTGGCAATTCCTTGATAGATATGTATGTAAAATGTGGTTGTGTAGAAGAGGGTTATCTTGTATTTAGGAAAATGATGGAAAGAGATTGCGTTTCCTGGAATGCGATGATTATTGGATTTGCACAAAATGGTTATGGAAATGAGGCTATTGAGTTGTTCAGAGAAATGCTTGATTCTGGAGAAAAACCAGATCACATTACCATGATTGGTGTTCTTTCTGCATGCGGGCATGCTGGATTAGTTGAAGAAGGGCGACATTACTTTTCTTCTATGACCAGAGATTTTGGTCTGGCTCCGCTTAGGGATCACTATACGTGCATGGTCGATTTACTTGGTCGAGCTGGATTTCTCGAAGAAGCAAAGAGCATAATTGAGGAGATGCCTGTGGAACCAGATTCTGTTATATGGGGTTCTTTGCTTGCTGCTTGTAAAGTACATAGGAACATCACGTTAGGTAAATACGTTGCAGAGAAGCTTTTAGAAGTAGAGACGTCAAATTCAGGACCATATGTTCTTCTTTCTAACATGTACGCTGAGCTCGGAAAATGGGGAGATGCAATGAATGTACGAAAGTTGATGAGGAAAGAGGGAGTCACAAAGCAGCCAGGCTGTAGTTGGATAAAGATACCTGGACATGCTCATGTTTTCATGGTTAAAGATAAAAGCCATCCTCAGAAAAAGCAGATACACTCGCTTCTGGATATTCTAATAGCAGAGATGAGACGGAAACAAGATCATGCCGAAACAGGATCACTCTCTCTCTGAGGAAATGGATTATTCATCTAGTCTTCTTTGGGACAACGCCATGTAAGTAACTTTGCTGGATATGTTTTTTTGCTGTTAAAAATCTATTCTATCTTTTCTTGAAAACTTAAGGGAATAGAAACAGGATAGAATATATGAGAGACAATAGAATCAATGGAAATTTTCTTTTGCATAAACAACATTTTCTTTCACATCTTCGGTTGCTGTACGAAGTAAATAATTAAACACATGAACAAACCTGTAACCCAATGTTTTGCAGAAAAGACATTATTGTTACCACATTTATTAAGCAAGAGCGGTTTTGAAACTTCGTTGGGAACATCTACACCTCAGAATCACATAGGAAATGAACCTGTAGAGCAAGACAAAACATAGCATGATCACAACATTTCTCCATCTGTTTTCCTCTCCATACCTTTCTTCTTTTAGTAGATCCTCCTCGGTCACCAAGCATTTTCCGAATCCATACTCCAAACACTTGCTTGACTTGGAGAACTCGTTAATCAGAAATCCTTCAAACGGATACTTGAACAAGGAGATGTAGTGCATAAAAATCCAGTAACTAGGGATCTCATGGTTCGATATGAAGTAGCCCGAGAACAGAAAGAAGGAACCCATCACACCGGAAATCACTGAGTTTCCAACAATGAAATTAGGAACCAGCGCACTAAAGCACACAACCACCGAGTTTGCTGTGTAGAGGATCAACCAAATTAGGAGCAAAAAGTGTAGAAACGCCATGAAATTAGGGTTCAGTCCCACCAGCCAGTACACTGGGAGTGAGAATAGAATAGCTAGGATGAGCAGAAATGGCAAGTAGACAAGTCCATTAGCGACGGCATATGAGGACACTCTGTAGCTTCCACTAGAAGTCTCCTTCATCAGAATCTCTCTTTCTTGCAGAAATATAGGGAGTGCCTCTATTGTTGAAGTTAGCAGGAAGGTCAATATGAATGCAAAGAGGCCTACTCTTTCTCGTGCACCTTTTAAATCGTCTTTGAGATTATGAAAAATCAGACCTAGAACAATTCCTGAACCTAACATCTGTACTGTCCTGCACGCAAAAAGCTCCTTGGTTCTGAAAATGTTCTTGGAGAACCTATGGGTGAGTATCATAGTTTCTTCTAGTCTTGAATTTGCAAAATCTCTGGTGAACTCCGTTGCTATGTTCATCGTTCCTACATCAGCAACCCTTGTTTGTTGAAACAGCTGTTGTAGTGTGAATTTGCCACTTTTGCTCTCCCCTTGACTATCTTCTGATCTCTTCTCTTGTAATGTTGTTTGTGATGTTAGGACATGAGCTGCTCTTCTGCTTTCCTGTAGCCGTTGCTGTTTTGTGATTGCTTCGATTGATTCAATGGCGAATTCAACGATGTTTTCATGGAGAGGAGGGTGCAAATCATTTGACCTTAAAAAGACACCAAGCTGATCCACCGAGCCTTGCTTCAAGGTCGAACCATTGGCCAACAAAAGAACAGAATTGAACTGTTTGACTATTCGAAATCCTGGTTGATGGATACTCAGAATTATGGTCCTGCCTCGTGTTTCAGCCATGTGCTTAAGCATGTCTATGATCAGCAGAGCCGAAGTACTATCAAGACCAGAGGTTGGCTCATCAAGGATCAGAACTTTGGGGTCGTGAATAACTTCAACTCCTATAGAGACACGGCGTCTCTCTCCACCCGATATCCCTCTGACACTATCATCGCCAACACGAGCAGTAGCAACAGCTTCAAGCCCAAGCTCATGGACCAACGACTTAACCCGTGATTTCAGTTCATCTGCAGGGAGCTTTAAACGCAGCTTAGCACTGAACAGAAGGGTTTCCTCCACCGTAAGCAAAGGAAACAGAGTGTCCTTCTGAGTGACATAACCAGAGATTTTCTTGAAATTGGCTCTATCCACTGGTCTCTTGTTGACAAAAACCGACCCGGTTTGAGGGATTAGTCTAGCAGCTAGAATTTCAAGCAAAGAAGACTTCCCTGCACCACTTGGGCCAACAATAGCAAGAATCTCCCATGGTTTGGCTCTACAAATCACTCCTTTTAGTACATGCTTGACTTTGTTACCGGTTTCATGCTCTAGCTTCCATGACTCTTCTTCCGTCTTAACCGGCTGGTCAGCTTCCGGCTGCGGTTTCCGCCTAAAGATTCCGAAAGGATTAACATCAAACTTCCTTACAAAGATGTTATAATCAATATCTAAAGCTTCAATCTCACACCCTTCCTTCTCCATTGAAGAAGAAGCTTTGTTCTCTCTCTCTCTTTCTCTTTCTCTCTTTTCCAATGCTATATAGTAGCTTAAGAAAAAGGACAAGTAATAGAACAATACCAATTATATATGTCTTGTACTAATTGTGTTATTATTGTAATAAACTTTGACAAGTATTGGATTGGTCATAAATGGTTCAAAAGACTAAGAAGTAAGAAGACAGCTCGATTTTCTGTAACTTGTATTGGATTTAAGTGAAGAGAGTTGAAATTTTTAAGTTTGGTCACGGGCCATTGTTTTCTTATACCCAAATATAGATAGATAGAGAGTGAGAGAGGTTCACATGCACTTGTTCTTCTCACTTCTCTTTAACTTTCCCAAGACATGAAGAGTCACGTGTTCCTTTGTGCCATTATTTATTTATTTACTTTCATATTTTGTAATATATTTGTGATTTCTTCACCAATTTCTTGTTTTAAGAAATTTGATTAATATTAACAAAAATATCCTGAATAAAAGTTGCCGACGCCTAATTCTGAAAATCACTTTTCTTCCATATGAAATTTACATGTATTTGACACTTATTACACAATCCCCTAATTATGTGTTTCTATGACCATAAATGAGGCATTACATGATTACACTACGAAAAGCAATAATAAAGCCACGATTTATCTCTAAATTCGTTGTTAAAATTTAAATGATGACAAACAATTACAAAAAATGGATAGGCAAAAATGTAAAGGAAAATAAACACCGAAAGATTTAAAGATGGAGCACATAAGAATGAGAAATATTTGTGGCTAATTTGGAAAAAACTAGAGCTATGATTATTAGCCCACATTGACCACGGATTAGCCATTCATGGTTACTAATACTACGGTTACTTTTGTATTAGCCAGTGTTTATGTGGCTATATTCTGCCACAGAATGTTACTTTCCATCTTCGTTATTTATAAACTAACATTTTTGATTATTTCTAATTCAAATTTTATTTTTAAAATTAAACAAAAAAAACTATATTGTCATATATACAGTACATCAATTTTAACTATGTAGTTACCTTAAAAAAATTAATTGGCATACTTGATTTGTTTTCCTAAGTTTCCAATGTTGTTAGGTTTATGATTGGTAACTTGTGTCTTTGACTCCATCATTTGCGCTCATGCTTATTTTTCTTATGCTAGTTTTGGAATTAAACATTTTTCCATTACATATAATTTTAGGTGACTAGTTTTTCTTTCCATGAATTGTTGGGGAAATTTATATTTTGTACAACAAAAAATAGTGATAATTATTAGTAATGTAAACAAAAAAATAGTGTAGAAAGAACCTATATTTTTAAGAGATAATTATTATTAATGTAATATTTATTTAAATATCAGGAATTAAAAAACAGTTAGTTAAACACCTGAAAATAATTGTGATTGTCCTAATAAAAGAAAAGAAGACCAAAAATAGAGATGATGAATGATGTTGTTTTGACTCGTTGAGCAGAGAGGATGATACGGAATACCACCAACTTTGAATCCATTGCCTTTCCCCTCATATGGTTATGTGTATGTATCTTCCTGCAAATTAACACACAACAAACCTTTCAATCATTTCAAGTTTTTCATAGGAAAATGGCGTCAAGTGAGGAAAATAGTACGGATGCCTCCATAATATGTTACGCGCCAAGCATGATCACCACCAATGGAGTTTGGCAAGGCGATAATCCTCTCGATTTCTCGCTACCGCTCTTTGTTCTTCAGCTAACCTTGGTTGTTGTCGTCACTCGTTTCTTCGTCTTTATCCTCAAGCCCTTTCGCCAACCTCGTGTTATCTCCGAGATCCTTGTGAGTAACCTTACATTTTTTTTTTATAAACTTCCGTATAGGAGAAGTTTTCAACTCAAAACCAATTGAAAATGAGTGGATTGACACATATCTTTTATATATTGCGAGTTTTTTTTTTTTTTTTACTTTCCATGTGAGATTCTAACATTTTAGAACATATCCTATGATCTTAAATTCACAGGGTGGAATTGTTCTTGGGCCATCGGTGCTTGGGCGGTCCGCGAAATTCGCGCACACAATCTTCCCTCAGAGAAGTGTGATGGTACTTGAAACAATGGCTAATGTGGGTTTACTTTACTTCCTTTTCTTGGTGGGTGTAGAGATGGACATTATGGTGGTACGCAAGACAGGAAAGCGAGCCCTAACCATCGCTATTGGTGGTATGGTCTTACCATTCCTCATTGGCGCTGCCTTCTCTTTCTCTATGCATAGATCAGAAGACCACTTGGGGCAAGGCACCTACATACTTTTCCTTGGTGTTGCACTCTCCGTTACTGCATTCCCGGTTCTTGCGAGGATTCTTGCTGAGCTCAAGCTCATCAATACCGAGATTGGGCGGATATCGATGTCTGCAGCCTTAGTTAACGACATGTTCGCTTGGATTCTTTTGGCCTTAGCCATTGCATTAGCGGAGAGTGACAAAACTTCATTTGCCTCCCTCTGGGTCATGATCTCTAGTGCAGTTTTCATCGCCATTTGTGTCTTTGTTGTGAGACCAGGCATTGCTTGGATCATACGTAAAACCCCTGAAGGAGAGAACTTTAGTGAGTTCTATATATGCTTAATCTTGACAGGAGTTATGATCTCTGGTTTCATTACCGATGCAATTGGAACACATTCGGTCTTTGGGGCTTTTGTGTTTGGTCTTGTGATTCCCAATGGGCCTCTTGGTCTAACCCTCATTGAGAAGCTTGAAGATTTCGTCTCTGGCCTTCTCTTACCTCTCTTCTTTGCCATAAGTGGTCTCAAAACTAATGTAGCTGCCATTCAAGGCCCTGCCACGTGGTTAACTCTGTTTCTTGTTATTTTCCTCGCCTGTGCTGGAAAAGTTATCGGTACGGTTATTGTTGCGTTTTTCCATGGAATGCCTGTTCGTGAGGGAATCACTCTTGGCCTACTCTTGAACACTAAAGGTCTTGTTGAAATGATTGTGCTTAATGTTGGAAAAGACCAAAAGGTTTTGGATGATGAGACATTTGCTACCATGGTTCTTGTGGCCTTGGTTATGACAGGAGTCATCACCCCTATTGTAACAGTCCTTTACAAGCCAGTGAAGAAATCTGTTTCATACAAGAGACGAACAATCCAACAGACGAAACCAGACAGCGAGCTTCGAGTATTGGTTTGTGTTCACACACCGCGTAATGTTCCTACTATAATCAACCTTCTTGAAGCTTCATATCCCACAAAGAGATCTCCCATATGTATCTACGTTCTCCATCTAGTAGAGCTCACTGGTCGAGCATCCGCAATGCTGATTGTCCATAACACTCGTAAGTCAGGACGACCCGCGCTTAACAGAACTCAAGCTCAGTCAGATCATATCATCAACGCCTTCGAAAACTATGAACAACATGCTGCCTTTGTCGCTGTTCAACCCTTAACAGCTATTTCTCCTTACTCAACAATGCATGAAGATGTTTGTAGCTTAGCAGAGGACAAACGTGTCTCATTCATAATCATACCATTTCACAAACAACAAACAGTTGATGGAGGAATGGAATCCACCAACCCGGCCTACCGTTTAGTCAACCAAAACCTACTAGAAAACTCGCCTTGTTCCGTTGGAATACTCGTTGACAGAGGACTTAATGGAGCCACAAGACTCAACTCAAACACTGTCTCTCTCCAAGTTGCTGTTCTGTTTTTCGGCGGTCCAGATGACAGAGAAGCCTTGGCTTATGCCTGGAGAATGGCTCAACATCCGGGCATTACTTTAACCGTTTTGCGGTTCATTCATGATGAAGATGAAGCAGACACAGCTTCAACACGTGCGACAAATGACAGTGACCTAAAGATACCAAAGATGAACATGGACCATAAAAAACAAAGACAACTTGATGATGACTACATAAATCTCTTTAGGGCGGAAAATGCGGAATTAGAGTCAATTGTGTATATAGAAAAACTAGTGAGCAATGGGGAAGAGACGGTTGCAGCAGTAAGATCAATGGATAGTTCTCATGATCTGTTTATTGTTGGAAGAGGAGAAGGAATGTCGTCTCCTCTCACCGCGGGTTTAACCGATTGGAGCGAGTGTCCCGAGCTTGGTGCCATTGGAGATTTGCTTGCTTCATCAGACTTTGCAGCCACTGTGTCGGTTCTTGTGGTTCAGCAGTATGTTGGGTCATGGGCACAAGGAGACGACATGGATTTTCCTGAGAGTCCAGTACATTCACATGAAACAAAAGCCACATATGGTTTAGAGAATCCACGTTAGTCAAACATTCAGATTTTTTTAATCTTACACACACACTTTCATTTTTTTCATTATTGTTTTGTCTTACAAATGTATTTTAGCAATCTATATTTTGGCTGACACCCAAAATTTGGGTGTTTCAAGAAACTGATTAATTTTACATTATGTTTTAGATTTTTTGCATGTAAATGTATGTCCAAGTGACACTCAAAACTATATAGTTTGCGTTAGAGTTTTTTTTTTTTTTTTTTTTTTTTTTTTTTTTCATCGAACACCATTTATATTAAGTTATCGGAAAGAGACTCTCCGCTAGGGGGAGCCAATCAGGAACCGATGTGCTTACATGGGAAAAAAGGCTATTACGAGCTCGAGCATTTTTGGCTAAACAATCAGGCCGACAATTAAACTGACGAGGAATATGTCTAATACTAAAAGCGGGGAAAAAACAAAGTAAGGATCGAAACGAGGCCAACTCTGCTGCAAAGGTAGGCCATTCATCTTGGTTATCAATGAGGGAGATCAAGTCAGAACAATCAGAGGCAAAGGCGCCAGAGAAATCACCAATCGAGATCATGCATTCCATTGCCCATAACAGGGAGTCAACTTCCGCATGAAGCGGTGATAGGCTCCTTCGGGTGCTTTTAAGTCCTAAGTGGCGGGCTTTATCTTGTCCTACAAGCACCCATCCGAGACCGCTCAAGGTGTCATTCGCATGCCAAGAAGCATCAAACTGACATTCCGATATCAAGGGAGGAGGGCGAATAGCTGCTATCGAGAGGGGAAGGGGAACTTCGGTAGAACTATCTTGCGTTAGAGTTTAGATTAGTTTATTGTGTGTTTTTCTATAAAATATTCTACTCATGACACAATACAAGTCATGGAGTGAATTACGTACCTAGGATTCTAGGAATGCTTGAACTAAATCATATCACATCCTGAAGAACCCTGCAATTTGATTTCTTGTAGGACAAGAAATTATTTGTTGTGACCATCTCTGATAAATAATAACTTAAGGACGGTAGAGTTATAAATTCGTTTTTGGTGATAGAAGTCCTATAGTTGCTTTAGTGTATCGTCTTAAAACACTTCTCTTTAGCTATATTTTTTTGTTATTATTTTGACGATGACCGAATTAGAGTATACATTATGGTACTATATATTCGACATTATATTTCAACATCTATTATGATTTTGCGAAATATTCGAAATATGCTCTAGTTAGTATTTTACATCCGAAACAGTTAATGGTTCACAAATTTTGAAATGGATCTAGTGAAGTCGTTGCAAAGCAAGAATTTATTAAGGCTTTCACCCACCTCAAATACACGTGGGAAACATTTCAAACATATCACCAAATAATTCCAAATTTGCAGGCAAACTTTTCAATATTATTTACTTTTTTTTTGCAATGAAATTCGTTGCACTGTCATTACAAGTTAAGAGAAGGAAAAACAAAAAAAAGAGTATTCCTACAGTCCAAGCTACCATAATAGCATGCATTAGACATATAGAAATAGCAATCCGGAAAAACATAAATCGGATGAAAATTTGAATATGAAACGTGAACAATAATAATATAAATTAACCTTTCAAACTCTAACTATACGAATATGTTCTTATGAGCTAATGAGAATCTAACCCAACCCCAAGAAAATCAATGAACGTAACATTATGGTTCTCATTCTCACCCCCAACATCAGCAAGATTGCTAGTTAGTCCATCTTCGGATGAACTCTTATCCGATGTCCGACGAAAGTTATTATTTTTCTCCAAACCCACCAAGCTTGTGTTTCCAAAATGACTTCCATGGGGATCATTCGCGACTGATGAGGATCCAAGATGAGAATTACAATAAGGGAACGAGTCATGTGTATGTGTAGCCCGGTAACGACAGTGCTCAACGTTCAAGTTGTTGAGGCTCGGAAGAGTAGAGTTAGTGTTGGAAGCACCTCCTTCACGTTTGCATCTAGCCATGATAACATGGAAACGGTTCTTGACCGCGTTATCGGTTCTTCCAGGGAACTTCCTAGCGATAGAAGCCCATCGGTTCCCTTGGATCGCATGAGCTTTCAATAACATACCCTCTTCTTCCTCAGTAAACGGCCTCTTGTTTATGTTTGGATCCAATTGGTTGTACCACCTTAATCTACAACTTTTCCCTAAATTCAACAACAAATCAAACCCTACTCCAGTCTTCTTGATAATCCAAAAAGAAAAAGAATATAAGTAGATAGATCTATATATATAATTACCGGATCGTCCCTTAAAATGTTGAGCAATGAAATTCCAGTTCTTGGGACCATGTTGATCAACAAGTTTCCGTAGGTTTTCATCTTCTACAAGCCTCCAGTGACCTCTCTGACAACTCTTGTTATTCTCATCACTCTTGCTTCCTCCTGAGACTTCCATAGACAATTAATCTCTGTCTCTATCTCTTACCTATAACCAAAAAAGATGGATTAATTTATTGTCGTTGGAGATATTTGTCACAAAAAAGGGGAAGAACATAGTTAGTCTATGTGGAAATGATAAAAGGATGAAAATTAAGACCAAAAAGACAACTCGCTTTTTAGGGTTATGGATGAAAAGTCGTCTTCTCTTTTACAAGACTCTTCTCTCTCTCCCATGGTATAATATTTTGATGATTAATTGTGTAATTTATCCTTGTTATTAAAATTACTTATGATTGTTTTAAATTACACTCATATAAAAGTGTCTGAATAAAAGTATGGTACATGTTATATGTAAGACATTATAACATGTTCATTGTATATTGAAACGCATAATATTAATGAATACATAATCGAAAGAGTAAAAACGTTGTTTAATTTTATTTGTTTATTTTTCAGTGTTTTTATTAGTTTCAAAATGATATTTTATCAAAGAAATTAAAATGTTACTTTTCTACAGCCTAAGTTTAGGCTAATACAAACGATCCATTTGAAATAGTCCTTTAATACATAAAATTTCTAGATAAAAAATTATGTAGATTACTCTACTTTTTCATAAACCACAATTTGTTGCGCTGTAAATTTATTATTTTTATTAATTTTGAAATACTTTTTCCGAATATCTTTTAATTGGTTATGTAATAGGGAAATTTTGTCTTTTCAGAATCATAGGGAGATAAAAAAGTCAATGCCCATTTTGTTCTCCATTAATTTCACCCCATTGGTTTCTTATATAAACAGGAAGTATTATATGTCAGACTATATAGGTTAATACTACACAAAATAAAATATACTTCCTCTGTTTCAAAATGTAAGACGTTTTGAGGTATTATTTTTGTTTCAAAATGTAAGACGTTTTCAAGTTTCTATGCAAATTATATATTAATTTAATATTTAATAATTATTTATATTATGCAGTCTCATTCATGATTAGTTGAACTTTATAAAGTGGATATTTCTTAATCTGCGTGTTTTTGAACTAAAACGTCTTATATTTTGAAACGGAGGGAGTATATGTTACGATGTTGTTACAAAAAGGTATCTCCATTATTTGTGTAGGTCCACTAATTAATTGTTGGCCACTATAAGAAGTAGGAACTAACAGCTCTATTATATGTTAACCTTGTGCTATATACAAATATCCTATACTAATTTTCCCAGATGAATTAGATTTAACTCGAAAAACAACAAAAAATAATTTGGAGATATATATATATTTCATAGATTGTTATGAAATACGAGTTTAATAGTTTATATATCCATGCACGAGGAGACATTATTACCCAACAAAATAAACTTAATATAGTTTTAGTTACATGAATATGTGTACATGGTTGAGACGTCAAGTTTAAGGGGGAGAATGTTAACTTAAGCTTGAAGGTAACTTAAGTTATAAGTTGTTATTTGAGAGAAGAGATAAGCCTTGTAATATTTAGGAGTTATCTAAACATATTACTAATTAGACTAGGATTTGGTCTAAAGGTTTTCTATATAAGAAGATGTCCAGTTGTGACATAGCTTATGGGTTTTAAGAGATTGAGATTGTGAAGTTTAGGTTTTGAGTTAGTTTCCTAAAACAATAAAGAGAGAGTCTTTATATTCATAATCTTTGTGCTTAGTGTTTGAATCGATAAGGTTCATGCTTATAACGTGTTGTGAACAATTAGGGTTACGAATTGCTCTTGTATATTATTCATAAGTAATAAGTGGATATATATGGGATACAAATTAGGGTTAAACATAGGAACTGAGTAATGTAGAAATTTCTAAAACATTCTAATGGACCCATAATGGGCATCCATATAATAAACATATTATTCATAACAGTCTTCCTCCGTTATTTCCATCAAATACTTTACTCTTTCCCTTGTCCGGTTTCTAATATCAACATGTTCGACGGGCTTCCTCGAGTTCATCTTGAAGAGTAACTCCATTGTGGACAATGTGATCATTATAAATATATTGCTATAGGCGAATCATGTCAGATTTATACCCATCCAATTCCTCTGTCATTTCCACTTTTTTAGCTGGATCAATCTGATTTAGAATGATAGCCTCAAGATCCCTGATTTTATCCCCAAACTTGTTCACCATATACAAAGTAACCACAATTTCATCGAGATCAAACCGATTCATAAGCACCAACTCATAAGCATCTTTAAACATAAATCGTAAAGACTTGACGCCATTGCAACTAAGTTAATTTCCTTATCATTTCCGAGCAAGAATACGAAAATCCAAATAAAATAAAATCAAGAATCACTCTCTTAACCAATCGAAACATCTAAATCAACAATTTCGCGGTTCTCTGAAATACCTAAAATACAAGCCAAGATTTTGAAAAACGGAGGGAGTAAAACATTAATGGAATGTATTGGTTATTAAGGGGTATACGAGGTGATGGTTTATGTTTCTTCATTTGAACTTTGGGGCACCTTCTAACAAAAAGTTTACTTACCCAAAAGATTTTGCCTAATTTTAAGCAAAGAAAACTAATATGAGACACTCTTGTTGATGATAGTGATAGTCGTTATGGGTGGAATTATTATCTAAAATCCGAGATTGTTCCAATTTTTATAATACATCTGATTAATATATTTAATAAAATCATTGCAACACCACCAGTACAAAACAAGTACAAATACTTACAATCTTACATAGAAATATATATATATATATATATATCTTAATTTTATATTGCAAAAAGTTAGAAACGATTCTCATGAAATAAGATGTTAGTTTTATCGATAGTTGGAACATTAGTATCCCTTTTATCATGTCCGGAAGCACATTTAATAAGTCTCAAGGAGCAAAAAGATCGTATAGTTTACGTTCCACCAAACGTCAAGAAATCCCTGACTACGTTTTTTACGGTGGAAGCTGTCATCCGAAAATCACAATGATTGTTGATGACCGTGTTGAAGTGTGAGAGGACAAGGATAGTCCAAGGATTCATCTCATTGATCTGTACCTTCTGTATTCGCCACAAGAACTTGCTGATAGACTTATTGGCCATACAAGACAACTGACCATCAGTTTTAGAGCCTATTTTTTCAAGTAAAGTTTATTTGCTTTTAAAGGCTTAATGGTGGCTGGCTTATTACTATCTCTGAAAGTTCTTTCATTTTTCACAGACAATTTGATGAGAGTTCGGTGCGTCCATATCGGGTTGACTACGAAGAAAGTGTGCTACATACATCACCGAGCATCAATACATCTACGCTCTTCAATAGGCAGCTATTCTTGATCCCAAACCAACATCAAAAGAAAACTAATCACCCCCATTCTTTTCATTGTTTGGAGTATGAGACCGCGAATTATGCAATTTGGTTATGCCACATGTTCTAGTGTGTATAGACTATAGAGTATTGTACATTTTCTTTTGATGCGATGCCACATAGTGTCATTGAATTTCTTTACTGGAAATTTGGTAAAAACCAGTTTGGTCAATAATTTCTTAGAAAGCGGCACAAAGTTCGAATGAAGAAACACAAACCAGCACTTCTCTTCACACTCAAGAATCGATACATTCATTAATATTTTACTAAAATTCTACAAGTAGAGTGGCGAATGCTTCTACAAGAAACACATACTTTGAATAGAATTCTGAGGTTATAAACTCATTGCTCTGCTTTAATCATATTTTGCCATGTCCTATACTGATTGATGAAGGAAAAAGTGTTGGAATCGTTAAGGGGGTTTTAGGACTTCTCCCTCATTTTGGCTCTGGCAAATACAACTCCAGCCACAAGACCTGCAAATCAGGCCCCTCTCAGGTTAATAATACACAACACAAGCGATATGTGTTCCTTCAATATGTCGGAAATGCGGACTGATCGAGAGAACACTTACCAAAGAGTATGCTTGCTGAGTTCTGCAAACTGGTCGGTACATTGAACAGAACGATCCCCGCGATGGATAGAGGTATCTTGTTTAGCGATCCCACCAGGCTGTGATTTTGCATAAAACGAAGGATTTATCTAGTAAATAGGAATGAACCACCAAAGAAGCAACTATAGAAGAGGGATATATGGAAAAGACTAGAGCAGCGCAACACTCTCCAACGCAAAGTTTTGAAATTGCATGTTACTATATTGCTCTATCTCTCTCTAATTTGCTACCTGTATGTTGTTGCTCCAGTTTGATGAAGAAACCACATTGAAGTGAAGCTAATGGCAAGCCCCAAAAGTCCACTAAGTGTCATGACCATCCAGAAACTTGGCAATCGCAGAAGTGGCCTGCACAAATATAATGCACCAACCATTTTGTTTTCAGATGACATAAACCACTTTCCATTGACAGGAAACAAGGACAGGAACTCACGTTTGATACAGATAATCCATCTCATTGAAGGAAAAAGAAAGAAGAAGCCCAAGTGGTAATGAAAGTGTGTTATTAAGCAAGACCATGGAGAACTCGTTCAAGTTTCCAGATTGAGTAACCTGCTTGGCCGTATCCATGGTCTTTCTCAAAGTCAGCTGCAAAACAACAAAATATTAGAAAGTCAAAAGTGGTGGAAAATTTTATAAGAGTATAGTAGCCTAGCTAGCAAGCCAAACATTTCATAGACTTGGTTTTCGTTGACAGGATGTGCGCATAAATTTATGGGAACCTAAACTCTTGTTTTTTTAATCTGGCAATGGAAAACCTAGTGAGAAGTTGATGATATCAATTTGCATCCTTTGCCCAAAGTCTTCTCTCTAACATGTTATTCCTACTTTCAACAACTAGTGAAGTACTCAGGTTACCAGTGACGATGGATTGCAAGCTATATAATTTTCTAAGGCAACAGAATCTCAGTATCTCGTGAGAATCTTAAAACTGAAAAGCAGATCAGTATCGTAATGATTATAGGGAACGCCGTTTAGTTTATTGACTTAGTCTTAAACAAACAGCATGTAAAGCTCGACATGAAAGCATGGTTTTTAAGTGATCTCCTTTTCATATTTGTTTTTATTGTTTCAAATGACTTCAACATTTTAGGAAAAGAAAGCACAAATGATCAAATGTTTACTCACAGAGTACGATGCAGTTAAGAAGCAATTAGCAATCTGCCAAGCATAGCCAACAGCATTGAATGATAGGTCTGTTATCCCTCCAGAAACTGCGGAAATAATCTGCAAATGAGGGCCCGAAAGAAGCGCAGGCTAATCAAAACTTAATCTTCTACTTATTCAAGATCTATACTATAAGAAATAGAAATACATAATAACAATGAATGGCCGTGACAAAAAAACATGATTACATTTCCCTGGCAGAATAATTGTGGAAACAGTAAAAAACATATATCTCCAACAGTTTTGAAAGGTTAAACTATGCCACATCACTGAAAGCCGCGTAAGCACACAAAAGGGTGGTGGGTCACTAATCAATAAGAAGTTATGCTTTTGAATTTATTGGTTAAGGTTGGTGATCAGAAAGTGCTTTGAATTTATTGGTTAAGGTTGATGATCAGAAAGTGCTTTGAGAAAACAAGAACAACGGAATGTTTCGTTTAAACCAAATCCAAATCAGTACAGAATCATTGTTTGACAAGGATGTCTTTCAAAAACTCTAATTTGAATGCGTTCTCTATGCATCTTAAAATAGGATCCTTGGGAATAGTTCTCTCAGGTCAATTTACAGAATCAGTTAGAAATACTTTTAAAGCAGACAAACATACCATTAAGAAGAGAGCAGCCCACACTCTGTTGTCATGTTGCTTGTTGAATAGATACATCTCACCAACTGCAGTTATCACATTAGTGACATTCTTCAGGACAGTGACCATTGCTACATTGATGTATTTCAAACTGTCAAAAGAAAATGTAATTCAAATAGACAATCAAGTTCAATCTGCGCTTCAAACGTCGTCTACATACACATATAAGATACAGATATATCTCAACCCTACTATGGAGTAAATCCAGAATATCTCAGTTTAGAATTGAAAAGCTATCTGTTCCATCTCAGTATATACAGGTTATGCAATCCTCGATCTGCAGTAAAACTTAACTGTATAGCTCAAAAAAAGAGGTACAGATTCGTATAACTACCTTTAGTACTCACATGAACATTAAAATCTATAAACCAACACAAATAAAGGAGTAGAACACATTCTTACCTAAACATGCTTGTGATAAGCATACCAACAAATATCACGTTCACTGGAAACCAGACCTTCATCAACCTCAAAGTCAGTGGTTCCGTTGTTATTAGACCCATTAAGCTCAAACCCACCACAATAATCACTGAGACAAAGTTCTGCACCACAAAACAAATTGCTGACAGAAATTCAAAAAGCAACGACACTACGAAAGGGGATACCACATTTTGTTCAGCTAGGGAAAACAAAAGAGCATACCTGGTATAACATCAAAAATATCCCAGCATTGAAGTTGTAGCTGGAAAGGACAAACTTGTTCACAAGTATCATACTACATGATGAAATGCAATAAGCTAAACCCGATAACAAAGCCCGATTATGTATCTTTCTTTGAATTGGCTTATCTCCGGATTTCCCTGTCTTCCCATCTTCTAAATCAACTCCATCGTGTTCATACGATTTCATTGCTAGAACCTGCCAGAGAAACCAATTTCTTTCAAGCTTATAACTAATGTAATCTTAATGGAAATTAAGCCAACTGATTAAATCATCTTATAAAGCTTGCAATATGGAGATAAGAGAAACAGAAAATATAGTCAAGATAGATCCATCATTCTTAACAATACACCAAACTTTAGACTAATATGTCTACTTTAGCCTCACAAACCAATTCAGTTCGAATTCGAAGAACAATCAGCTAAAATCAACTTAAGAGGAGAAAGACTATACTTAGGATCAAGCAGCAAACTTGAGAGTAGCTACAAAAGCGTTAAGCTTCAGAGAACACAAATCAAAATCCCCAAAAGATTTCAGTAGCAGAGAAGAACAAAATTACCTCCTCGAAGATGCTCAAAAGCTCGCGAAGTAAGAGATTCAACTTCGGATCAGAGGTAACCAAGATCTAAGTCACCGGAAAATAATCTACAAATCGGAAGAAGAACATGAAACTTGCTCACGAGGAGAATCTCTCGTCACTGTGAAATGTTTGAAGAAACAACAATGGAAATTAAGAAACTGAAAAGACGAGGGAGAGAGAGATGGGCATTGACCAGAAAGAAAAAAATAAAAATTCTGGATTCAGACCAATTTCGTTTCTTTCGTTTGTTTATTTATATTAAAATTTTATTAAGGTTCGAAAGTTAGAGGAAATTCCATTATCTAATTTCTTAAACAAATATATATTCCGGGTCCGGCTCAGTGGGAATTTCAAAATTTACAAACTCATTAAACTAACTCATGTCAAACATGTTTAATACTGTAATATATATCAGCCTATTTTAAAAAAATTCCTTAAAACAAACCATTTATATATAAACAGAATAAAATTGAACATTTTTAAGCCAACAAAATTTTACTTTTGTATATAAATTTCATAAAAATCAGTTAAATTCATTCTCATACAAATATATCATAAATATAATTAAAATTTGTTAAAACTATTAGCTATCAACAAAAAAATTGTTTGGGGAAATTTTGCTAGCTACACCTAAAATATGTCATCTCCTTAACCATGAAACTTATGGATGTCAAAAATAAAATAAAAACACTTATGATGTTATTTTCCTAATTTTCATCAGTTTATAGTTATTACAAAAATCTCTTATATATTGAAAAGAAGTCATAATAGAAACATAAATTATCACCTATGTAAACATATTCGGATAATCTGACACGAACAGTTTGTACCCAACCGCATTTTATCACCCATGTAAACAATATTCTTCTATTGGCTTATTTGAATCAATCTATTATAGTTGTTGACAAAAAAAAAATTATCTAATGTAGTCTAAAATTTAAATCTAAAATAAAAATAAAACCATCGTCTAATGTAGTTCTAAAATCATAAGCTTAAAATGGAATTAAGAGAAGAAAAAAAAATATGCTTAGACAATTGATTATATAGAAATAATAGAAAATTACATAAAATATTAGATAACTTATCTAAAAAGAAAGATAAAGAAAAAGAAAAAAAGGATAGCTTATAATGTTTTGAACATGGTCCATATCACAAAATGTTGTAAACCTATCTATTAAAAGGGTTTTGAATTTTCTATCCATACTTCTAATGTTTGACCACAATAATTGCATACCACTTGTTACCTTGTTAGTGGACGAAGAGGCAAAAGTATACCACTGTTGTGTGTGCCTTTAACTTGGCAATTTGACACCAAAATATTCAACGAAAAAAAGTTTGGCAACAATGGTCTTGAGTCTTGCCTTGTACCATACCGTTGACCTTTCGGCTTAATTCTCTCCACCAGAAATTGTAGCCTCTCTATTTTGACTCTTTGACACAGTCCACTTCTAAAATCCACTAGTCATATCAGCCCAAGTCTACACGGGCACGAGAGATTAATCATTAAGATAAAATAAAATCTTCAGGCCCAAAAGAACTCTTATAAACTTTACGCTGTCTGCAGACAAATTCAAACGCATGACAATTTTTATAACAAAAATATATTCACACTCTAATGCTAACGACACTCATGTTGCTGTTTAGAACAAAATTTTGAATATCATTTTCGTATTATAACACCACTTACTATATAATTAACTCTCTCTCAGTTATTTAATATTTCTACAGTGAAAATCTTTCTCGGACACATTTCCCAAAAATTTTTGAAGTAGATAGTTTGGTTTGAAAAAGAGGATCTCACCCACTTTTCTTTACCAAATAAGGTCATTTCTCTACGAAATATTGCTTTCCGGCCTTGGTTTCGGTCCCTCCCAAGACTCCTCCTCCCTTCCTTCTCCACCTCATCTGCTTCTCTTTCCTCTCTGTTTGCTCAGCACATGCTGCTTTCATAAATCTCTCCTTCCCTTAGAGTAAGATGCCTCTGTTTTTCACCCTCCGTGTAAAGACCTTACCTTATTTGGTTCAAATTCTCTCAGACAACCCTATTGTTGTCTATCTTTGAATGTGAAGAAAGAGCTTCCTGCAATAGCAGTGTTTTTTTAAAACCTTTATCTAGCTTGAAGCTAAGTTCTGTTCAAAGTAGTTACATGCTCTTCTCTATGTCTACTATGGCAAAATAAGTTAGACCAAGGCAAGCTCTGTTTGTCTTTGAGCCTGAGGACGAAAACGATGTGGTTGTTCTTCCACAAGTGGATAACTCAACTCTTCTAGCTCAACTTCAACTCAGCCTTGTGGGACGGATGTTTCATCAAGGCGGATGTGGCATTGAGGTGTTGGTCTCTCTTCTCCCTAAGGAGCATATATGGGATGTTGAAGGAAGTGTAAGTGCGGAAGAGGTAATAATAAAGTGTAGAAATTAAACGAGACAAGAACTTTGTTAACGAGGTTCGGTTTTTCTTACTCCCCGCAAATACAACCAATTTACAAACCCGTAAATCAAGTACACTCCTCTTGAACTACCGCTCTCTTCTATTACATGAACTCTTAAGGATAATTTCTACCCTTAATTTAACTCTCCCTGAGTCTAGATATAATCAGGATAACCAAACCTTAAGCTAAACTCTCCCTGAGTCTAGGGTCAGGATAACCTAACCCTAAGCAATGGTGGTAAGAGATACCATTAACATAACTCCCCTCCAATCTCTAACCGTTATCAAGCTTCCCGTGTAACAAAGTACCCTAGCTCCTCAAACTCTCAAAGGCACATCTCTTTTCATGACTATTCCAAAGGAAAAACAGTAGATGATGGCCGGAAAACGCCGATAAGGAGAATATTTCTCTCAGGAGAAAAGTATTGAACCCTCACACAAAGAACGTTTCAGCCATTCTCGCAGAGATCACTCCTCCTCCCATCGTCCTAGAGATAAGGTTGGAGTAGACCATTCTAACTCTCAGTTAACAATCTCGGAGCCTCTCATGGGTGCAGCCAGAGCAAAACAAGAGAATTTTTCCCCAGCTTTTGTGAGGGAAAGTCCTTTCCGCTTAAATCTCTCAAAGAAAGCTGTCACTAGAAATCAAGTCTAACCAGAAATCGTGTATGGATTAAGCAAAATTTGGACGAAAAAGTATCGTAATCTTCATTGTTTCCATATTGGCAACGGAATTGAAGATCAAACTTTCTAAACAGAGTGGATGAGCGGGAAAGGAAAATTAATATGTAGCACTAGAACTCAAATATTTCTAAACATTTATTTATATTAGGGAAAGTTACTAGATTAACACAAATTATGAGTTAAATTACTAGAATGTCTCAAAAAATTTGGGGGTTAAATGAGTTATTTTCATGACCATAATACCCTTTCTCTCTTTGTTAGGAATAAATAAAAGTCAAACTTACCCTTAAATGTATTTAAAAAACGTGGAAAAAAAATTATTTGAAAAATCTGCTGGGTTAGTTGTGACAGGTTTATTTTCCATGACATACTTATTTTTATATGACAGATTTTTTGCGACATATTTTTTTTCTCCCACAGATTTACTTAAAATAGGTTACGACAAATATTTAATTTGTAGCAGATTTTTTTCTCACGACACACTTATTTTATGATGACACCACAGACTTTCGTAATTTTGACAGATTTATTAAAATGTGTGGCAGATTTATTGTTTTAGTGGCGTCAGACATATTTTTCGATAAAAATCTGTCATAATGTAGCAGATCTGTTAATAAAAAAATAATTACTAGTTTGACTTATTAGTGATAACAGATTTATTTTATGTTATGACAGTTTTTTTTTTCTTAACAAAAATCTAGACTGTGATAGCAGATTTGTTATATAAAAATAAAAATTGCTAGAATGATATATACTCACAACCGAAATGTTTTATATTATGACAGATTTGTTTTATATTACGACAGATTTCAGATAGGCTATAAAAAAAATCTGCCGTATGATGGCAGTTTTATTGATGAAAAATAGAATTTTAATCTGCACAATAAGGTAATGACAGACATATTCTTATCGCGACAGACTTATTTATAATAGATGGCTCATATATGGCTGTCTCCTTGTTAATATATGATAAAGATAATTTTTTTTCGTTTTTTATATATTTTTTCTCTTAAATTTATATTTTTTTTGTTTTTTTTTCTTTTGTTCTGTATTTTTTTCATTTTATATTTTTTTGTCGTTTTGTATTTTTTTCTAATTTTGTATTTAATTTAGTTATTCTATGTCAATTATTTTATTTTAATTGAACTGAAAATAAAATGGGAATTCGTTTTTTTTTTTCATTTTTTAATGTTTTCTTTTCAATTTATATATTTTTTTCGTTTTTTTTTTAAATTTTCGTTTTATAATTTTTTGTATTTTGTAATTTTCTATTTCATTTATTTATTATATGTTAATTATTTTATTTTAATAAAATTGAAAATAATATGGGTAATTGGTCTTTTAACACAAAAATTGTGTTATTCTAGTAAACCACAAAATTTGGGTGTTATTTTTCTCTAGATTTAAGTCAAACTAGGTAATTTTCAGTTTATATTATTCCTTTTTGTTGAAATGTTTAGGTATGAGAATAAACGACATTTTGGATAAATCTAATATCCCAAACCCATCATATTAATTAGCCTTTGTCAATTAAAAAGAGTGATCATCTTCCCCAAAATAATCATTTTATGCAAC